GTGTGTGTGTGTGTGTGTATGTATAAGAATTAAATGAGGTATGTTTAATTCAACTATTCTTCTTCTTGTGTTCCCAGGCATTGACCTTTCCCAGGTGCCACACTTGCCGGTTCTGGTACCTCCTTCTGCAGGGACAGCCGGCCCAGGCCTTACCTACATCTCTGGGTCACCCGCCGGATACCATAGCAGGAATTACGCCTCGCCCATCTCCCCTGGTACCCATTCATTTTTAATACAGGCCTCTCCGTCCATTATCAGCTGCTTATCTGAGATCATGTTGCCGAGGCAACGGGTCTGGGAGCAAGCATCTCATTTATTGTGAGATTAAAAATCATTGTACATTAGAAAATATGTTTTTTTTTTCTGTCCAGTTGGACCCTCACACATGGGAAAACTGCAGAGCACGTCCTCTGCAGAGCGTGAGCGGGAAAGAGACCGCGAACGGGACAGAGAGCGAGAAAGAGAGCGGGAAAACCGGGAACGGGAGAGAGATCGGGAAAGAGACAGAGAACGGGAGAGGGACAGGGAAAGAGAGCGCGACAGAGATAGGGGAGGATCTTTGGGAAATGTGGAGCACGCCCCCATCTGGCGCCCAGGTATGAAAAAGATAATTTTGTTTTTCCACGTTACAACCACAAACTGAGTTTTATTAAGTTTTTATGGAACGGATCAACTTGAATTTACAGATGATTGGAAAATGAGATGAAAATTGTGGTTTCCTTTAATAAAAGTCTGAATTAATTCACTACGTATAAAGTCATCGCAACTGGTTAAATAACTCGTACATTAACTCAACATTTTCACTTAATAAATTTAATGTAACTGTTCTGTTTCATCGCTTTTTTTGCCACAGGAGTTAGTCCTTGATTGGATAACAGTTGCTTTAAAGGTGGTCTAATCATTTTTTGGTGACTGTATATCCAGCTCTGATGACTGGTTAATCTTTTGGGATGCATCTTCTTCAGGTTTGCTCATTTTTAGACCTCAAAAACCCCAGCATCAATCTGTGTTTTACCAAATTCACCTCATTGGCTTTGGGTCTGAACGGGGTCCTTCAAACACATTAAAACTGTGATTCTGACCGTACGTTAAGTCATCGAACTTAAACCCCATTTTGGAGAAAGGTTTCCTCCAGTATCGGCCTGTGTTTGGCTATAAACAGCCTAATCATCAAATCTAAAAAGCATCCCCAAAGAATAATGCTGTGGTTTCCTGTAAAATGTTTGTTACTGGAAATGAGACAGCATAAATGATTACCCATCGCATTGGATTACATTTGGTCAGATTGACCAAATCTTTCCTTCGATTTCACTCTGATATTTTGAGTTGATCCGATAAAACAAACTAAGAATAGGTCGGTGTTGTATTGATACTTTTGCAAAAAGTAGTTGTTTGATTTTGTGGAGAGATCACCTGGTTTCCATAGCAACACGGTTCTGTGTTCCTCAGGGACAGAACACAGCTTGTCCAGCAACAGCAGCAGTGGGAGACCTGCATCCCAACCATACAGCCACCAGCACTCCCCGGTGTCTCCTCGTACCCAGGAGAACGTGCAGCAGAGGCCGAGCGTGCTGCAGAACACTGGTGGCAAAAGTCTCTCCGTCAGCGAACACTCATCAGTGTTAAGGTAAACTGGATTTCACCAACCAATGTTAATTATTCCTACATCATTTACTGCAGTAAAAACAAACTAATTTTGTTTGTCGTTTTTTTTTATTTGTATTGTGTGGTATTTTTTCTTTCAGGCCCTTGCCCTCATCCCGCTACCCAGGTTTTCACGGCTCCTTCCAAAAAACAGGTGTGCCCCCCGACGCCTACCCATCTGCCATGGACTCAAATGTAGCCAAAGAGCAGAATCGCGATGGAGGCAAATCCAGGGGAGGTCTGCAAAAACACCTGCAGGACCAACACGGGACCTCCAGTAAATCTGACCCCAAGCTTTGCAGTCCGAGCCCAGGAGGAATGTACCACGGTTCCTATCCCCCGGCTTCAAGCCGCCCCCAGCATCTGCTGCCTTCCCAGTCGGATAACCAAGCTGGTCGAGAGGAAAGCGCCACTCCGAGTAGAGAAAAGCCTCAAAGCAAAGCAATGTCCGTTCAGGAACAAGACGTGCGATCACTTGGTAAGACCAACGCTTCCTTTACCAGACTTCTCTAAATGATCTTTACAATTATTGCTAGGAGGCGGATCCAAAGGTCCTCCGTCCTCCTAGACCAATTAAAGAATAAAGAAAATCATGAACCAGTAAAGGTCCGGAGACATTTTTAATTATGATACGTTACTTTAAACAGAATTTAACACTGAAATAACATGGGGTGTTTATGCATCCATGTTATACATTGACTTTTTAAATAAAAATAGAAAAAAAGGTAGAAAATTGTTTTACATTTTAAAATCTAAAGTGTTTTTTGAAGTAGAAAACAACAATTTTAAGTTTGGTATATAGATAATTTCCTGATTCACATATTTTAAAAAAAAACACCTGAAATGACCGTTTATTTTTCTTTTTTCTGTCTTAATGTTGGCAGTGGGTCTTAGGCTGCCCTGCAAGGCTTTAAACCTGAGTTTGAATGGAACGATATTAATTTTTGATTCTGTTCATGGTGGGGAATCCTGCTTCACAGCAGCAGGTTGAGACAAACATATACAAAATGTTCAGGATCATCTTTGAGCACGCCATTTCACTTTTCTATCATCAGTTCACCACAGTTCTTCCAGCCGTCCACACTTTCTCTGCTCTCTTTTTCCTCATCATCTTCTCCTTCTTTCCCATCGCCCGGCTTGCCACAGGTTTGTCTGCTGGGTCTAAAAGCAGCAGCAGCAGCAACCCAGACTGACAGCAGCTCATTGGCTAATCTGGATCATATGTAGCCTGGTGCCGGACGCTCCGGAGGGCTTTACCGTATTAACAGGAGAAGCTGTGCAAGTGAAATTAGACACATTAGTCATCGGACAACATGCTGTAATTTATAAATTGGGTCCGGATCCAGACCCCGGTCCACTAATCTGACATCATGTAGTTTTGTATACTGTGTGATTATGTCACATCGCCAGATGATGATGATGATGGAGTTTGGAAACGGAAATCTAAATTTGTATGTTCTCCCCTGATGGACACTGATGCTCCTCGTCTCTTTTATGAGCAAACCTGAAAAACTAAAGATGGAACATCATTTCATAATTTTAGCGATTTTATTTAGATTTTTGTCTCCAGGGTTTTGTTCTTGTAATAACATTGAAAGCTTCTTGTCCAGAGTCTATTACCATAGGACTTTACTGTTACAGTTGTTCGGAAGATGAGGATGCACTGATCCACTTTTTTTCACCGCCGATACGATTCTGATATCTGAATTTAGATGTCTGTGTACCCTGAATTTTTTCCAATACAGGAGCTCTGCTTACTTTATCCTCATTAAAATGCTGTCATTAACTCCTCTGTGAAAGCAAGCATGATATGTATGTATGTGCAAATTTATATCCCAGAAGGCAACTTTAAATTAGTATGACGTCAGAAGAGGAAGTAGTTAAAACAGACAATCATGTTAAATGGACAAAATGATTCGTTCCTGCTGTTTAAAAGCTTTTTTAACCAAAATTTGGTTTCGTATTCTAATGGAATGAGTAGATCTGCCCTGATTAATTGAGTCCATTTTGAGTGACACTGGATCTAGAATGTTTTTCAATATCTGAGCTGGTATAGATAGTAATATAGGATTGGTGCATCTCTAGTTAAACACAAAGATGCTTACTTCTACACCCATAGATCTGCCTGATAGCTGCAACTCTCTCCTGTCCTATGGGGCAGCAAACCCACTTGAAGCGTGCTGCTGCCACCTAAAGGGCTGGAGTGTGAAAGTCAGTTTCATACACTTCATCAGTGTAATTAGACCAAAACTGAATCTCTCTGCGATTTAAAAATAGCACTTTGTTGAATTGTGATTTTATTGCAGCCATAAGTAATAGGCTCTGTGCACAACTCCACTACTTCCTGAAGTTAAGGCAGCGCATTAGTTTCCTCCGTTACTGTATGAACTGATAAATCCAGGTGCGTCTCAATGTCTTCATGGTTACTGAGGTCAGGCACACCTGGATTAATCAGTTAGAATCTCCTGTAGAGCAGTGATTCCCAACTCAGGATACGCGAGTTCATTGCAAGGGGTGCATGAAAATATTTTATTTCTTGGGTAGTAAAATAAAATATGGCTGTATACACAGAGTATGCAGCCATATGCAGCCATATCACGAGAACAAGTAGAGAACAGCCTCATATCAACTGGTTTTCACACTGAGCTCATCAAAGCAGCTCAGGTGTCTTGCTGAAAACTAGTCAAACTAGTTAGTCAGTCTGAGTATAATCTTTGTTCTGTATTTTGTTCCCAATTCATCAAATTCTCCAGTTTTATCAATACAGGTTTATAATATGATTTCATTTGTATTTTGATTCATTACTAACTTCCAGATGCATAAAGCATAAAATATCTAAGAAATAAATGCTCAAACGTATTTCTTTATTTCTTTTTTTTTTTTTTTAACAGTGTCCTGTCTGGCAATATGGCAATAAGAAGTGTAGGAGTATGGCAATTGCCATACTGCTCCACTTGTTTCATGCATATAAATTGCTTTATTATAATTAGGCAGGGAGTTTTATAGTTTATATGGACACTGCAATGTAAATAGAGCAGAAAAACAGAAGAAGAAAGGGGGGAAAAAAGAAGAGAAAAGATGAAAGAAAGAAGAGAAAGGAGACAATGACAAAACATTTTCAGTCTGCTTCATCACCTGCAACGAGATGCAAAAAGAACAGCACAACCTAAAGACATAGTACGAGGCGTACCATAAAGCAACACCTTGAAACTATCGCTGAAGTAATATTATTAAGTCTGACATGTACTCTGTGTTACTTGAAGATATGCTCAAATTTAAAGATGTAAAATAGAATGAATAGAATTCAGCTTTTATTCTCAATACACACAAGTATCAAGCAACGAAATGAACTCACTGCATTTCACCCATCCCCTTTAGGGAGCAGTGCGTTGCCATTGTGCATGCCCTTCCTTGGCATGCACATCCTTGTTGACATATGGTGTAATTTTCTATTCAAACTGTAAAATCATTGCAACAAACAAAATTATAATAAAACAAATGCTTTCTTTACACCAATCTACAATGTTCCTGTTCTATTTGGCGAATTTATGTTCGAGTATTTTGCAAAAATAATTGGCGGTGCATGATGGGGTTTTGCATCTAAAGGCTGACGTTTCCCATCTTAGGTGCATCGTTGCCAGGTTGGGATGTTTCCCAATCTGGCAGCTTAGGATGGCTGTCAGTGGGTAAAAAAAAAAATTTTTTCTTTAGATTTAAGGCCTAAGAGATCAATAGACTTTGGTTCAAATTGGGCGAGATTTCGTATATCTAGGCGGTTTATGAAAATGTTTTGGGCTGGAAAATGTGAGTCAGTCACATCTGGCAACCCTGCTGAAGTCCATGTCGCGTCCGTGTTAATAACCAGCGCCAGTAAAACCGTATTATAGAAGTCTTGGTGGTGGTTGTCGTGTGATGGTAGATCGGTTAATCCACAATGTGTGCTTCGTATTGTGTTTCACATTTAAGTGGGCCGATGTAGATGGAAAAATGCCAAGGCTGAAAATCGTTCCCAATCCGAGCCTGGTTAAGGGTCTTGCTCAGGGACAGGGGTGGTAGTCTGTAGGAGTGAGGCTCAAACTCAGAACCTCTGGAACCCAAGCGCAATGCCCCAACAACTAGAGTACTGCTCCAAAATACTTTTTATTTAAAATCAGTTATTGTATGTTCCACTTTTGGACAATCATCAATACTTTTGACTAAGAGGGGAACTGATGGTAGACAAAATGCCCAATGGGGTACACAAGTCAAAAAAAGGTTGGGAAACACTGCTGTAGAGAAAGCCAGGAAAAAAACAAACAAAAAAAAAACGAGCTACCTTCAGATAGTGGAGGCATGTATAGAGCCAATTGTTCAGCTTTAGTTTGATCATAAATGTCAGTTCAGATAAATAAACCATCCCCTTGCTGTTGGGATACTTTCACCAACTTGTTAAGGTCAATGTCTTTGATCAGGTTGGTTCTGTTTAAGTGTAAGAAAAAAACTCGGAAGAATCAAGCGTGGACTCTTAAGGTAACCTGACTCCGCCAGATGGATTTGCTCCGCATATCCATCTGGAAACCTTCAGTTGAAGTAATTTTGGGAAGGGGCGAAAATACTGGTTAGCTGATTGGCCTATGTTGGTGATAGACAGGCCAAATAAACCAATCAAATCAACGAAGCATATGACGTACTAACAGAGCAACAACGAAAACACAACCACAAGCCAGGCACAAGCCAATTGATAGATCAAAAAACATCTTTTCCTCTGAGAAAAGCCTCCAGAGCAGTGTTTTGCTC